TTGATCGATACAGGCTTGGCCATCGGCAATCAATCCACATCCTTCGCGCATCGCGAACGCTGTCCTCGAAAGGGACGCATTCGACTTCATCGACGACGAGTCGCAAGAACTCGCAAAAGTCAGGCTATGTCGCCATCCCAAGTCGGTTCATCCTGCAACGCAGGCGCATCAACGACTCGGTCCAAGCAAAGCCAGTCAGAAAATCAGCGTACTGGACCGACTAGCAGACCCTCGTGAAAAGGCCAGCTGCATCGACGTTCGACCGAAAATCAAGAAAAAGCGTAGCGCAAAAGGGCTATGAAACCCTCAAAAACGCGTCCAGCATTTTCACTGCAACTCACTCCAGAATCGACCGCAAAAAAGCGTAGCATCCCATAAGAAAATCTTCGAAATTGCGCCCATTAGCTTCTGCAAGCAAAAGCATAGCACATCATATACGAAAACCCTCAAAATTGCGCCCATTAGCTTCGTTGCTCGATCGACCCTTTTGTTTGTTGTGCCCACTCCCATATAGTAGGAAAGCTGTGTTGTTTGTCCGTGTTGTCCCCGGAGCGCAGTAGGCGTGCGGATTGGTGTCCACTATATCGCGTTTTGGTGTGTTTTTGGACTCTGAAATATTTGGCCTCTCGAAATCCTTGACTTTTGCGGCCACATTAGGAAATTCCTAATGAAAACGCGCAATTCCTTATCCTAGTGTCCACTATATCAATTTTCCTTACTCTCCATTACACACATCAAACACTACGCATTTCCTAGTGTCCACTACATCAAATCACCTAGTTTCCATTACAAATATAAAACACTATCATGTCAAAAGTGCGGACACTACACTTTTCCTATGCAAAAATGTCAAAATTGCGTACTCATAGAAAATGTCCACCATATCAAATGACTGCTCATTTTCTATACAAACAAGTCAAAATTGCGTCCCTGATAGGAATGTCCACCATATCAATCACTACACTTTTCCTATACAAACATGCCAAAATTGCGTCCTCATTGCAAATGTCCACTATATCAGTCACTCACCAAACACAACACAAATCAATTCACTACACATTCCTATACAAACATGTCAAAATTGCGACCATGCACAACTGTCCACCAATTCAACACTACACTTTCCTTACCAAAACATGTCAAAATTGCGACCATGCACAACTGTCCACCAATTCAACACTACACTTTCCTTACCAAAACAAGCCAAAATTGCGCCACACTTGCTATGCAGATAAATGTCCACTATATCAATATCAATCACTACACATTTACCATACAAAACAAATGTCCACTATATCAATCACTACACATTTCCTATACAAACAAGCCAAAATTGCGGTCACCAATTGAATCACTACACTTTTACCACACAAAAAATGTCATTCAGCAGGTTTTGAACCCACACTAACAGATTTCAACTCTGTTGTAGCAGCCTATCAGATTTCAAGTCTGTTGGGGTGATCCATCAGATTTCTACTCTGATGTGATGACCACTTGGCCAAGAACAGTTGTATGAACTGCTGAGGAAGACGCCCATGAGTCTATGTAAGACCGCATTTGGGTAGCAAAAATGTCGCGAAGCAGGTTTCGAACCTACGCTAACAGATTTCGATTCTGTTGTGTTAGCCCATCAGATTTCAAGTCTGTTGCGATCATCCATTAGATTTCGAATCTGTGGTGGTAACCGCTCGGCTAAGAACTGTTGGATATGCTGCTGAGAAAACCGCCCATGAGTCAATGAAATGGCGGACTATGATAGGAAAAATGACATTCAGCGGGTTTCGAACCCACGCCAACAGATTTCGATTCTGTCGCAGTAGCCCGTCAGATTTCAAGTCTGTTGCGATCATCCATCAGATTTAGACTCTGAATCGATAACCGTTAGGCTAAGAACTGTTGGATGAAGGGCGGAGAAAGCTATTCATAGGCCGACGTAAGGACGCATTCAATAGGAAAAATGACATTCGGCGGGTTTCGAACCCACGCCAACAGATTTCTATTCTGTTGTATAAGCCCATCAGATTTCAACTCTGATCCGTCAGATTTAGACTCTAACCGCTCGGCTAAGAACTGTTGGATGAACAGCGTAGAAAATCGCCAATGAGTCAATGGCAGGGCGCATCATGACAGCAAAAATGACATTCGGCGGGTTTCGAACCCACGCTAACAGATTTTGACTCTGTCGTATTAGCCCATCAGATTTCAACTCTGATCAGTCAGATTTAGACTCTAACCGCTTGGCTAAGAACTGTTGGATGAACAGCGAAGGAAGCCGTTCATGAGCCAGCGCCAGAGCGTTTTGCAATAGCAAAATGACATTCGGCAGGTTTCGAACCTACACCAACAGATTTCAATTCTGTTGCGGTAGCCCATCAGATTTAAAGTCTGTTCTGGTGATCCTTCAGATTTTGAGTCTGTCATGATAACCGTTCGGCTAAGAACTGTTGGATGAACAACCGAAGAAACCGTTCATGAGCCAGCGCCTGGGCGTTTCAAAATAGCAAAATGACATTCGGCAGGTTTCGAACCTGCACCAACAGATTTCAATTCTGTTGCGGGGGCCTTCAGATTTAGAGTCTGTGGCGGTCCAACAGATTTGAACTCTGTTGCGATAACCGCTTGGCTAAGAACCGTTGAATGAACAGCAAAGGAAACTATCCATGATTCAGCGAGGGGACGTGCCACCATTGGAAAAAATGTCGTTCAGCGGGTTTCAAACCCACGCTAACAGATTTTGACTCTGTCGTGATAGCCCATCAGATTTCGACTCTGTTGCAGTAACCCCTCAGATTTAAACTCTGAGGCGGTAACCCATTGGCTAGGACCGGTTGGATGAACCACCGATGAAACCAACAAAGACTCAATTCCAGAGCGCGTTTCAATAGAAAAAACTGACGTTCGGCGGGTTTTGAACCTGCGCAATTCAAGAGAAACAGATTTTGACTCTGTCATGATGACCACTTGACTAGGGACCAGTTGGATGAACCTCAAAGCGAAACCAATTCAACACGACCATAGACCTGCCCTAAACCACTAGGCCAATGATCAAGCAAAGTCCTTATCGATCATTAGGGTCATGCGAGACCTGCCCTAAACCACTAGGCTGATGGTCAAGCAAAGTCCTTATCGATCATTAGGGTTCATGCCAGACCTGCCCTAAACCACTACGGCTAATAGTCAAGCAAAGTCCTTATCGATCATTAGGGTACTGCCAGACCTGCCCTAAACCACTACGTCCATAGTCAAGCAAAGTCCTTATCGATCAGTTAGGGTTACGCCAGACCTGCCCTAAACCACTACGTCCATAGTCAAGCAAAGTCCTTATCGATCAGTTAGGGTTACGCCAGACCTGCCCTAAACCATTACGTCCAATCTCAAGTGGTCGACCCCTTAGTGCGGGTCGCTTTCTTTCAGTTTCCTTATCTTTTATTTATTTTTTGGTTTTTTTTTCTTCCTCGCTCTTCGTCGTCGCTCTCCTCATTTTTTTTCTTATCTTTTTCTTCCTTCGCCCTCCCCCTCTCGCCTTCAAAGCGCTTCCCTTCACTCCCCTTCGAGATCCTCCCAATGGAGGACCCCAAAGAGGAGCGTAGGTTCCTCCCTCGAAAGGGAGGACGCGCCCCTCCGGCGTGCGCCCTTATCGCAAGGCCCAGTCATGGCAGGCCTTGCGATCTACAGCCACCCAACGGACTGGTTTCATAGATGAGGTCCGACGCATAGACCTCACCCGCATCCCACCATCGAGCGTGCAAAAAAAAGCATAGCAAAACCCTCAAAATCACGCCCTCCACCCCAGCAAGACCATAGCGCAATGTGCCAAGAACCCTCGAAAATGCACCCTACACCAGTAAAAACATAGCGCAATGCGCTGAAAACCCTCAAAAACGCGCCCATCGGCCTAGTTCCTTATCGGAGCATAGCGTCGCGCGCCAAAACCCTCGAAATTGCGCCCAACCCTAATGAAAACTGTAGTGTCGCATACGAAAGCCCTCAAAATTGCGTCCAACCCCAATGAAAGCGTAGTGTTGCATACGAAAACCCTCAAAATTGCGCCCATTAGCTTATTTGTTGTGCCCACTCCCATATAGTAGGAAAGCTGTGTTGTTTGTCCGTGTTGTCCCCGGAGCGCAGTAGGCGTGCGGATTGGTGTCCACTATATCGCGTTTTGGTGTGTTTTTGGACTCTGAAATATTTGGCCTCTCGAAATCCTTGACTTTTGCGGCCACATTAGGAAATTCCTAATGAAAACGCGCAATTCGTTATCCTAGTGCGTCCACTATATCAAACACTACACCTTTTACTGTGCAAACATGCAAAATTGCGTTCACAACAACAAAACACTACACTTTCCTTGTTCAAGTAAGCCCAAATCGCTAAACACTGCACTTTTCTATTGGCAAATGCCCAAGATTTTGTCCCCTCGATATGGGGCCCTGCAGGGCCATGCCAATGGGCTCCATCAACAATAAAGTCTAGGGGCTCAAGGTTGTTGTCTATGAAATTCACAAAAAAGATAAGGAAATACTGAAAAACAGCGAAAATCGCTGCAACTCAGGCGGAAGCGGTGTGGGGACCTCCATGCGCTGGTCGGAGGTGCCATTGGGGTCCAGGAGCAATAAAGTCTACGGGTGAAAGATGATTGACTACGAATTGAGTGAGAGTCATAAGGAAATACACAAAAGAGCGACATTTCCTAATGAAACCTAATCAAAATGCAAGCCTTCCTTATCCATCCAAAACCCGGACAAACACTACACTTTCCTAATGCAGACAAGCACCAACACACTTTCCTTATTCAAGTGTCCACTATATCAAAACACTACACTTTCCTTATCCAGACAAGCCAAAATTGCGCCCATACATGCAAGTGTCCACCTATATCAAAACACTACGCTTTCCTTATCAAAATTGCGCCCATATATGCAAGTGTCCACTATATCAACACACTACACTTTTCCTATACCAAAAACAGTCATCACACTTTCCTTATGCAAGTGTCCACT